CCAAATTAAAAAAAATTTTGAGTGGGGAGGAAGTGGTAGAACCAGAAATCAATTTGGCCAAATTCCAATTCTCGTGACTTACTAGAAAGGATCCTGGATCTTTTAACAGCAACATGGGTCTTCACGGGCTGTTTGCCAATTAGAGATGGCATAGGAAGGGCTCCTAGTTCCTCCTGGTGTTTGCGTTGATCTCACCCCCTGCTCCTAGTTCAGGAGCATTCCTGATGGGTTATTCCTTGTCTCTTGTATATTCAGCTATCTTTCTCTGGTGGGCATCTCCCTGGGGTTCAGAAACACACTGAAGTTTCTCTTGTTGGAAAGCCAAAATCAAAACCTGCCCTGAGCCTCACACACTTCCTCCAGGCACCAGCCTTCTTTTTTCCTCCCTTTATAGGAAATTCAAGAAACGCCTGCACTCGCTGCTACTCCACCCCCTCCTTTCTTGGTCTTCTCCAGTGTGGCTCCCCTTGCACCTCCACTTCAGCAGAATGGCTCTAGCCTCGACCAATGTCCTCGCCACTGCTAATCCTTAATTTTCATGCCTCATCTTGCATCACTTCTTTGCTGCATTCAGTGCTGTTGACCACCCCCTTGAACATCTCTCCTCCCTTGACCTTCCTGCCCTATCCACCCCTGCCTTCCTCCTGTCACTCTCCCTGTCTCTGCCCCACTCGCTAATCCTCTTCTTCCCAACTGTTATTAATGGAGATCTTAGAGTCTTGGGTCAAGGCCACCGTCTGTTCTCCCTCTATGCGTCCTGTTCTACTCCGTCCCTAAACAATCTCATCCACTCCTAGATTTTCACTAATCTCCCACCCCAGAGACTCACAAATCCATCTGTGGTCCCGACTATTCCTTTGAGTCCCCGAGCCAGCATACGCAGAACGGCCTGTTCGCTGTTTCGGCTTGGTTGTCTCAAAACCCCCTGAACTCAGCACACTCATGACTGATCTCATGACCTTCCCCGTGAACCTGGTCCAATGCCATCCAGTGCCCTCATCTCATGAAAATGGCCTTGCCATCCATACAAGTGGCAAAGCCAGCTTAGTGGATTCCTCCATCCCAACAGCAAGCCATGTCCAGGTCTTGTGAGTATTACGTCAGCATCCCTCCATGTCCTCTCCTCAGTCCTGCACACCACGCCCCACCATGACCGCATTCACCTACCTGGTCCTCCTACTTCCTTCTCTACAATCCGCCATTCTCCCTGCAGCCAGAGGCCTCTGTTCAAATTACTCTCAACTCACATCACACGAACAGCCCTACCTACTGGAAGCGCTTGAATCCACTGCTCTAAACATAAAACCTGAAAGCTTTACCTTGGCTCACAGGGCCCTGCACTGCATGGTCCAGCCCCGTCCACCTCCCCAGCCTAACACCGCCCGCTGCGCCCCTTTGCCCTTTCTGCTCCCGGGGTACCCTGTTCACCTCCCCTCAGCTCACCCACCGCACCTCAGGGACGCCTTCCCACTCATGGTCCAGAGTTACCTCCTTTATAGCACTTATCGTGGTTGTAGTTAAATCATACCCTCCATCTGGGAGTGCAGGAGGAGAAAAGGATAGTAAGCTTTATGAAGCCACTGACACTTTATTATTTTGCTAATCATTATATCCCTAGCACCTGGGCACAGAACTTTCCACGCAATAAATATTAGTGAGTGGTAAACATTCAACAAAAAGAAGCCACGATTATACTCCACGTAGCATCAGGCAGACGGCAAACTGTGGACTGGCCCCAGAGGACCTTCTGGAGGCAAACTCCATCGACCCTCACCCCACCCCTTGCCTAGGTGTCTTATTCGACTTGATGGGCATCGCCCGGGCCAGTTCTTGAACGAAAACCCAAGTGTGGGCGGAAGCCTGGTAGCACAGTGGGGTTCGATGCTTTGGCTACATGAGCGGCGTTTCTCACTCAAGTGGTCTGACTGCAGGGCTCGGGCTGGCAGCATTTCTCTCAGGACTACCTGGAGGTCATCCGGGCAAAGTGGAAGCCAAGGCTCTAAGAAGTCAAACTGTCCCAGACAAAGACAGACAGCCACCAAGGTTTGGTTCTTGAGTATGTATTTTTTACTGAAAAAATCATTCATAAATTAACATACAAAAATGTACAAACACATGAGTAAATAATGTAATGACAAAGGACTATTTTCTGTGAAAAGTGTTTTTTTAAAACATCTTTAGATTTCAGTGCAAAAATGTACCCCTGGCACCTCTTAAAACATAAGAGCAAGCTCAAAAAACTCGTAGTGATGGAAGTAAGCGAGCTACGTTCAATGTAATGGTCATTGGTGAGTGGATACAATCGGTGCGTGTGCTGTTGCTTAGCTCTTAATGTCTGTGGTGGAGAGGCTCTCACAAGAGGCCCTGTAATGTCAGAATGAATAGTTTTGCTGACAACCCGCCCCCCCC